GAAAAGTAACACAGTGTAATAAGACGAATACGGACGCGACGCGACGGGTACAACGCTAATAAGCGCGAATAATCTGGCGGCACGACGAATTCCCGCGTACAAAAGAAAGAGACAAGCGATAGACTGGAAATTCGGCCGGAAACGAAAAGAAACGCATTAAAAATTAGTCGGCGCGATTATACAATAACGGACGGGGCTCGGTACGACGCGAGTACCGAGGTCTAACGACCACAATTGTTTCCGCGAAAATCGATCGTGAATCTACGCGTCCGAGACTTGTACGAAAACGAAATGGACCGAAAATTGACACACACCGATATACAAGGCAATCACGCGCAAGGTCACACTACAGCGCGACGCGCGGACTCGTTATTCCGCGCACTCACTCACACTTACGCTAACGCTCGCGCGCTCGGGCGCGAGGGCTTTGCGGCGAACTCGCGACGACGATCTCCGGGTGGCTCGACACGCGAATCGCGACACTCCCGATCGCTCACGGCAGATCCTGTGAGAATCCTCGCACTTGGGGACGGGCGCCGTTACACCAAACCAAAGAGTACTATGCAGTACGCGTCGCCGAAGGGGCGCACGCGACGAGACTCTGTCACGAAAAATGGCGTTCCCGTCCGCAGAGTGCGAACAAGATTCTCACTCGTGGCTTTACATACGCTAAAGAGGGTCACCTCACCGGCACTATCTCCAACTCAGCTTCTCCTGCAGCGGGTCCGACAGCTCGCTCGTCCCTCCTCGCTCTCGCCAACACACTCTCTCGCTCGTTCGCTCTCTCGGTGTCGACCGCTCTCATCGACCGCACGCTAAGTCCGCTCGCACGCAAAAGCGGCGTCGATCGCGCTCGATCGCGGATCGATGCCTGCACCCCCAGCCCGGGGGTGCGCAATATAGCGGCGCAGTCGGCCGCGACCAATCGCGGCGCCGTGTGGGGTCCTGCCGTGGCACGGGCGCGATCAGGTGATGCATCAGGCGGGCGCCTCGCGCCCGCGCGAGGTCGCCCCATATCCGGGACTTGGCGGCGTGGAATCAGCTGGGCGCGTCCTTCGCCCTTGAATTCCGGGGCTTTCTCGCCCCGGCAGCTCTCGGCGACGTCCCCGGGCCCTGGGGAAATCGCCGGCCGTATTGCCCTTCGCGGGCCTCAGCCACAGTGCCCGCCGTCCCGGTTGCGCCCCTGGCGGCTCGGGCATCCTTGCGCGCATCCGCGCGCTCGACCACCTGCCCGCCGCGTGCCCGGTGCGTGTCCCCTTTGCTCCGGCGCCCGTTCGCCCGCGCTCCAACTCCTTCTCGTTGCTGATGGCCTCGAGTCTCCTCGGCCCATGCCCCGTTGGTCCGGTGAGGTGCCGCGGTACATGTAAGAGGTTCCAACAAAATCAATAAGCGATACGCGATTTAAATTCGGGCCTCCCGGAGATCTCGGTCTCGCTCTTAACGACGCGGCTGTCGGTCCGGCAAACGGGGCGTGAACCCGCGCCTTGTGACGGCGGCGGGACGCTGCCTCGCCGCAGCGGACTGCGGCGTCACAATATATATAA